CCCCCCGCCCCGCCGAAGCAGTTTGCCGGCCGCCGTGGAAGCTGTCCTGCGCCCGCGGGTAAGCAATGGGATGGTTCCTGTGCGGGGCACACGTCCTGGAGCGGCACCCCACTTGGCTGGGCTGGGGCAGTGCCGAGATGGGGACCCTGGGCAGGCTCCGGCCACTGGCTCTCCCACCCCAGTGACCTCCTTGGAAGCAGCCCTGGGAAGCACTTTCCAGGGATCTGCTGCTGCCGTCAGTGGCAGCGGGGCAGCCCGTGTGTGGGTACCACTGCTCCAGCACCCGTGCACGGTCCCTGCACGGGAGGAAGAGAAACAACTTGGTGGGGGGATTTCGGGTGGCAGGATGTAATTATCCCTTTGGGGTGAGGCCAGGAGGGAAGGAGTAACACCCTTTTCTCACGCATAGTGCCAGGCAGGCATGACCGTGGGTGGTTTAAGGTCCCTTTCCAAAGGAGCCCCCGTACCCCAGTCGTTGGCTCTTCCTTTATCGAATGGTCTCTGCCCGCTCTGGGCTGGGATACCTGGAGGGGAAAGGTGGCCGACGTGGGGACAGGTACGTGTGTGTCTGCGGTGGCTTTTCCCCGCTCTCGCCTTAGTGGGGTTCGTGGATCACGGGGTTTGTGATGCTGGGGCTGCCTACCCCCCAGCTTGCTCTGGAGCCCGACAAGGGATGCGGGAGCGGATGTGGCGCAGCCGGGGGTGGAAGAGCCCCCGACAGCATCCAGCTTTGCTCTGACCCCTGTGCAGATTGTGCAGGGCTTTTCAAATCATCCTTTTTAGTAGTCGGCAGAGAGACAGCGAGCTGGCGCGTTCCACTCTCGGAGCATGTAATTAGGGAGCGGGGAGCTGCATGCTGATGCATGGCTTGGCAGCGAGAGGAGGAGGAGGGTGGGAAGGAGCCAGGAACATGGCTTCACCCCAGGGCTGCTAAACTCAGGGCTGGTGGAGGCACTAGGGAGGCGGCTGCAGGGAACCAGCCCCTCTCGCATCCCCAAGCCCCTGTCCCTGCACCTTCCTCTGGCTCGAGGCCTCCTCGCTGCCACGCTGCCGCTCTTCCCAGCGAGGGAGAGGAGCTGCAGCTCCTTCCTCCCAGCCCTGTCACTGTTGCAGCCGGGGGCTTTCAAGGGTGCCCCTTCATCCCTCTTTCACAGGCTTCCTGGACACACTATTCCGATGGGACACGACCAGGCTGGGAGTCCCAGTGGCACTCAGGATCCAGCACTGCAGAGGGGCTGGTTTGGTGGGGATGGACCATGTTGGGCGCATAGTCTGCAGCGGGGGGGATGCCTGGGGTCCCACTCCCCCTCTCCACCTCCCCCCCCGTGCTGTGAGAGCTCCCTGGCTGCTCCTGAGGATGCTCCAGGGTGCTGCCAGTGGACACCCAATGCTGGGGCTGGGATGGGTGCCGGGTGCTGGATGCGGCCCCCCAGCACGTCTCCGCTGTTTTGCCATCGTAGAGCAAGTGCTTGAGTGACCGGCCGAGGGCAGGAAGGAGTTTTCTGTCTGGTAGCAGCAAACCCTCGGCGAGAAGTGTGTGTTATGGGGGGTGTTACATGAAAGGAGAGGTGGGAAGGCAGCTCCTGGGGCTCAGCAGGGTGGTACAGGAGAAATTGCTCCGTCTGCGTTTCCCATCGGTGCTGGAGTTTAGCAGAGGCTCCTCAGCCGGTGGTGCCCGGGGACGCCAGGACAGTGCTCTCAGCCCCGCACTGCGCTGCCTTCTCCTCTGCCAGCAGAAGGACCGAGGTGTCACCTCTGACATCTCTCCTGTGCCGCTTTCCCTGGGGGATCTCGGGGTGTTTTGCAAGTGACCGATGCACCACCACGACCTCCCCTGTGCAGCCGTGACACGGGGACCCGGCTGAGCGAAGCGGCAAGGTAGGGAGGGACCGGGAGCTTCAGCTCTTGCTCAAATTCTGCTGCCGTCTTCTAGGTACGGGGGTGACGATCCCCTGGCCGAGGTCATGCTTGTTGGTGGAGCCGTGGGGGAAGGGAGCTGGACCGGTTGTTTTTTGGAGGAGGGAAGGGGGGATCAGGCTTTGGCAGGGGTAAGGATGTCCCCGTGGCATTTGCTGAGAGCGTTGTGTCCCCGCCTGGCTCATAGCAAACCCCTGGTATGACCTTGAGCAGAGGAGTTATGTCTGTAGCACACACTGGAGTCCTGTCCTACATTAATAACACAATCAGTTGATATAAAGCTAATATGTTGGGCTGATAAATAATTAAGGGAAAAGGAAAAACCCTCTATGATTTGCTTAACAGGAGCTTGGGAAGGAAGGGAAGGGGAAAAAAAGGACAAGGAGGGAGATGAATAATGGATCAAGGTTAAATGGTGAGTGAAAAAGGAAAGCCTTAACACGGTGAATCCCTGCAACACACATGCTGCAGGTTGCCAAACTAGTTAGCGTCGGCAAAAACAGCTTGTGGCCTTGGCGCAGAGACAGCGGCGGCAGCCGGGCCCAGCCCAGGGCTG